GCAAAAATGAAAATTCAACTGCGAGAACAATCTGAACACGTTGTGCAGTAGTTGTAGTGATAGGACAAGCATGTATCAGTGGGTTGTTATGGGTTCTTTTATGCTTTTTTACCCTTCTCCCTTGCTACAAGGTAAACAAGCAAACACAAAGCTAACAGGCGGGTCCCTGGAGAACCGCCTGCATACAAAGCGGTGATGAGTGTCAGCACTGATTTCAGAAGGGCTCGTGTTCAGATCCCGCCCCACCTTCACAATCCCTCGTAGTGCCTTTGAGCTACGCTGCCGCTGCCGCTGCGGCGCCGCGCTGCACGCTGTGCTACACTCACCTCAAGGGAAGCAGAGAAAAGAATTACAGAGGAGTATTTACATTTTTGCAAGTGAAGCAACTATGGTGTTGAGTAAAAAGTAATAAGAGTCGAAACTTCAAAAACCACCTGAAAATGAGCAGTGACGGTTTGAAAATGGGTTAGATTAATGAGAGGGGGAGGTATTTGACCAAGGCGTGCTTTTAATAAGCCCTGCCAAGCTATACATATTTGATGTGGTCTTCAGTGTTGATGAGATTTTAGAGACGGAACATATGAGGCCGGTCGCTGCGCTGTTGTGCGTCTTCCCGTACGGCCGGCCGGAGAGTGGGAAATGGAGCAAACCAAACAGTTCACTGAAAAGACCACATAGTGTGCTTGGCCCCCTGACCCGGGCCTGCATGCTTTGTGGCCTGTCAGCTTTGTCCTCCTTGTCCATGGCATTTACCGGAAACAAACCGCCACGGATGGCTTCCTCGGGATTAAATGTTGACTCTCCCTCTCTCTCTCTCTCTCTCTCTCTCTCCCTCCATGTGTACAGTCGTACCTCAAGTTTGCTCCTGACAGCGGGAGGTGGGTGAATAAACACGGTGAGCTCCACGAGAGATGTGGCATATGCATGCCGAGGCTTGAGGACACAACCAATGCAATCACCGTGCCCCTAACGTGGCATCCATCAGCCGGCTGATGGATTCCATTAATAAAAGACCTTTGGTGTTGTATCCTCTGTTCAGTATGTACTCCTTCAGCGCTACCAGTATAATATTGACCTAATCATTCTCCACCCCTGGAGCAAGCTCGGAACCTGAAATACCATTGTTATTTATCCCATAATGAGATGTTGACATTTACAGATAAATTGAAAGAAGAGTTTCAACAATAATCCCGTCTAACTACACTGTGTTATAGAAAGAAATGCTGTTCACGACTCTACTCAATAAACAACAAGAGGGGAGGGGGGGGGGGTACTTAATTGAAAAGCAGTGTTCACAGTTTGCTCAAACTCACTCATTTGTTCCATTTTGACAGTAAAAAAACAAAAAAAAAACAATCATAATGATAAAAAATAATTTAATTGCTCAAATATAATCTTCTCTGTGAACCATTTCCCCACAGTGTAATGCATTAGCTGTACTTTTTGTACTGGGTCAGGCGTGGTAAGGATATTAAAAATCATGCAGCGTCAGAGAGGGTACTGGCAAACCATCAGACGACTCTAGAAGCGAGAGGGCGGGTCTTTGCCCCCGACCGTTTTAATCAGCGGTACTTTGCTGCCGAGCTCAACCGAGGATCCGGCGAGTGGCAGGAAACACAGCAAAGACACAGCTAAACCCCCCCGCTGAACCCAAGTGACGAGTTGTCCGTGAGGAAGACCTGTCTGCAGATTTCGTTCTAAGCCGTAGTCGTGTCCCTGGCAGAGGTTAGAGGTAGTAGTTAGAGAGTGCAGGGAATCTAACCTGAGACGCAAAAGGCTCCGGCTGTTTTTCCCGGCTGTCACTGGTAACACGCGCCTCTTCAGTGTCACTCGCAGTTCAGGAAATCAGCGCCTCAGGCTCCTTTAGGAAACGTAGACCAGTCTGACAAAGAGATTCTGACTGAATGAACAAAAGATTTGGTTTTTATGTCTGGCTCTTGGAACAGTTGATCAGCCCCTTGCACGTCCGGGTTGCTTGTATTTTTCGTGAACTTGGAGAAGGTCTTAGGTGTCCTAGTGTTCCCCGAGGTTTTTCTGTCGGGTTGCTGGAGGAGTCTAAAGCGATGCAAAAACCTGTGATGATGCATTGTGTTTGTGATTTTCAGCAACTAAATTTCAAGCTAGAGAGTAGTCCAGTTTGGCAACTTGGAGTAACTATAAGGTCTCAACTGGGACTGTGTTTTTGCGTAAAACATTTCCAATCGCATCTTTTCTTCTGTTTTTGGCACATTTGGAAAGATTTGGCGTCATAAAGTTTTGGCAAAATATAAAAAGAATGCTACTCAACCCATGAAAACGGTTGTGTAATATCTTCCTCGGCTCTGGAGAGAGCTCTCCAAAGTGTCAGAAAGTAAACCCTGATGATGGAGGCAACGGATCAGATGAAAGATACTTTCCAGGATCCAGTGTTTTTGGAGCTTGACCCATGTTTGGGACTCAAAAGTCAGAATATTTTTGGCCTCTACAGCCTCAGCTTTGACAATTCTTTTTAATCTGTTCCTCGTGCATCCGTTCCAACTGAATGGAAGTGCACTACTTAATCACTAGAGTACCCCTTTAACTTTGCAATGTTTACACTGTGATTATTGGCGGCGTGTACTGATTATTTTGCAGAAACCATTTGTCTCAGTGCAACAGGCTGGAGAGAGCTTGGCTCGGGACTAAGTGGGGAAAGCAACGGAAAGAGCAATTTTGAACAGATAGACAGATGGAAATACTCAGCTCAGTCTTTCCTGATGCCACTGGTTTTGGAGGCAACAAGGCTCAAAACACTTAGTGGTAGACTGAGAACACCATCGAAGTGTGGATATTACAGTTTCAATTGAAGCTTTATTCTGTGCACATTTCACACCAAATATTGAGAATCATGAAAAGCATTCCCTGAAAAATATCCACTAAAAGCATGCTCTGCATGCTTCGCCTTTAATTGAGGTGTTTCGCTACGTTGGAGGTGATAGAGTAAAGACAGAAGCATGCACTCTGCTAAATGCTGACAATTAAAAACGGTCCATGTGTCCATCTTTAAATACCAACAACGGCCCTTCCCCTAAGATATGCGACAGTTTCTGTGTTCGCTCTGATGTGCAGCACATTGAAGGGATTGATGGCCATCAGACAGCTCTGACTTCAAACAGGATTATTCAAGGTTGGTTACTTGTCATGGTAATTTTAATGCTCCAAGAGCTTCGAGTGTTCTTTCTTTAGAGTTGTTCAAGGATTTTTTTTTTTTTGTACAGTCGTACTTTGAGTTGGGGTCTTAAAGTCATCTTTAAACTTGTGACTTGTTCCTCTGAGAATAAACCTCTGTCATAAGTGGAGGGTTGTTATAGTGACTACAAAGGATCGCTGATGAAGAACGTCGCTTGTCTGACTTCTTGTATGTTTTTCTATGGATCATTATAACAACTTCTATTAATATTTGTTGCCTCTTGTAGCTACTCGAAGAAAACGTGAGTTTCATAGTTGAATTGAAGATATGAACTTGTGTGCCACCAGTTTGAGAGACGGATGGTTTATATGACCATAAGAAAAAAGTATTTGATGTGACGACATAGCTCTTGGCACATGACCTCACCTTGCTATCAGTAGTGGGTGCACTTCAAGCTTTACACTTTACACACTGGCTGCTGTTAATGGCAATGACAGGGAAACTGGTGAAGGTATTTGAGCTTTGATATACAGATTTCATTTAACACAGTGTGTCATTGAGATATTGCACAGAGAACATTCACATCTATAAAACCATCTGTGCTCCTTTTTATTCCAAAGGGCAGAAAACGGATGAAAAGAAGTGCAACATGGAACACTGAGTCTGGCTTCAACTCAACAGAGCATTCACTCGCCGCCATTGAAATGGTGGTTTTTAAATATTGGATTTTTCACTACCTAAGATGTGACTACACCTGACATCAGAATCTTTTAAGCAAAGGGGTCAAACGCAGGCATCAATAGAGCGTTCCCACCAGGGGCGGATGTATAATATTCCCTGGTGCATCTTTATTAATCTCCGACTGCCACTGGGGGTTTGGAGCCTTCAGCCGAGCTGCCCCTTCGCTCCAGCTTTCAAAACCCCCTTCCTCAAAACACACCTCTTCAAACTTGCCTATTCTCCAACACTGCAATCGTATTCATGTCTATGCAGTCGTATTTATTCTAATTTATTTTGTATTCTATGCTTCGTACTTGCTGTTTTATCTCTTCCTGTTGTACGATGTCCTTGAGTGCCTTGAGAGATGCCTATAAATAAAATGTATTTTTATTATTACTAGTAATTTGCAAGATTTGCAATAAAACTCATTTTACCTTCACATTACTTAGGGTTTATTAGAAAACTTGAAACACGTAGGCTTGGTGAATCATTCATCATTGTTTTATTGACTGTGCTTTTATTTTTTTTTTTTTAAAGTGAGATGAGCTAGTTATTGCTGGAGGTTTTTAATGGAAAAATTGTCTGTTTGATCATTTGTAATGACAGTTACATCAGTTAACAAATCACAGTGGCATTGCAGTAAGTGGCAGCATTTCATTTCATGCCATTATTTGTATCCAAATGCAAATCGTGATGGGATTTTGTAGCAAAATTCATTCATGCATAAACGGTGCATGTTTTGATCTTTTGATCCAGTTCGGATGTTTGTCTGCTTCACATGCTGTGTGTCGTTTTTTATGCACATGGTGTAAATATTTAATATTTTATACAGCATTTACATATTTTAGTAGTATTTAATATATTTATAGATTATGTTAAATAAGAAGAGTGACGAGAAATGCATTAAAATACAACCGAGTTTAAATTCCAGTTCAATCAGTTTGGCTTGTTGTCTGTGAACCACCTCATTTGTAAAATCATTATTTAATAATTGCTCGTGGAACAGAGCTTTGAGACAGAAGCCCTGAAGCCATTCTTTATTAAGTCCAGCACCGCCGCTTCAATTTTAAGGTTATTCTTGTTCCAGTAGATTATTTACGACATTTATGATGTTTTTCTTTTCTTCCAACAGCTACACTCAGATGTGGACAAAGGAGACGGCAAAGTGAAGTACGTGCTCTCCGGAGAGGGCGCCACCTCCATCTTCACCATTGATGAGAACACGGGAGACATCCATGCCACAAAGAGGCTTGACCGGGAGGCACAGGCCTACTACACCCTGCAGGCTCAAGCTGTAGACCGACTCACTAATTTACCTGTGGAGCCCAAGTCTGAATTCGTGGTCAAGGTCCAGGACATCAATGATAATGAGCCTAAGTTTCTCGATGGACCGTACTTGGCAGGGGTACCAGAGATGTCACCCTTAGGTAAGCCGTAAATATAACCCCCTAACAACTCTCCCTTTTTTTACTCCTTTATGTTCTCCATCCTCCACGTTTTCCTCTCTTCCAGCTCTCTCTCACACACTCTTGACTTTCCCTTTGACTTGCCCTCGCTCCTACACCTGCATTTGATAATTTTCCACCTCACTGAATTTGTCTTCATCTCTCTCAGTCTTTAGGTCACGGGGGGGGAAAACGGGAAGTTTGCAATATTAATTTGAATCCAGGGTGTTCGCTTTGTAAGACACAATACGTGCTAATCGCGTTGGGCGCAGTTTAAAACTTCATGAAGTTCCTCTCGAACATGAGCTCCATATCAATTGAGGTCCAGGTTAAACTACTCGGGTTTAGTTATCCCTTAGCCAGACTATGCAGGTTTATTGGCTTCTTTGTACTTTTCACCAATATGCATATTACTAAGACCATGGACATTTCTCCTCTTGAAGTCTTTGAGCTTTTAAATACCTTTGATTTAGTTTTTTTGAAAGCACGATGATTTACAAAAAGTGGGCTTCTAAAATGCCCTTGGAACTTTTGACAAGGCAAAGCAACTGTAGCACATTTAGTAACTCAAAGTGCTTCACTAAAGACATTGTGAGTAACATAACAGAAGTCAAAAAACACGAAATGAAAGAAATCAGTCAATGCTTGAAGCAAAACCCGAAATCTAATCATGAGCAATGATGAATAAAGAAGTTTTTTAGCCTTGGTTTTAAAGTAGTACGTCTCAAATCTTCTGGAGAAGTTCACTTTTAAGATACGAAAGCTGCTTCATCACATACTTTTTTAAATCGAAGTATAAGCAGGCGAGTGGCAGACAATCTGGGATAGCTGGAGGGTTTATAATGGGTGGAAATCAGATATATTCAGCGCTTGAAACATAAAGGAGGCTGTAAACAATAAGGAGTTATTTATCAAGTCCAGTACTCTTCTTCATATGTGCTGTTCGACTGTTTAACAAGTTTAATAAAAAAACGCCCCCTGAAGCTGTTTATGGAGGGCTATCCTCTAAATTGTGTGATGACATAGTCAGTCATTTACATCATTTACAATAAGAAAGTCACTGGAATAAAGTAGCTTCCCCTCAAGTGTATTTGCAATCGCCGTTTGTAAGACTGTAGCCGTGCTAGCAGCTCTGTGAGGCTGTATACTGAGGTACAGTAGCGCTCTTAGCCAAAGGTTAAAGTCAGCATGCTAACATGCTCATGTTTAGCCGCTATAATGTTCACCGTCTTAGTTTAGAATGTTAGCATGCTAACATTCGCTAATTAGCGGTAGCCTTAACGCAGAGTACAGCTGGAATCCGGTGATAGACAAGGATTGGGCAAATCAAAATTTTGACCTCCTGATGGCGCTAAATTTAGTAATCAGATTACAAAAATTACAATTATTACAATTTTATTAAAGCTAAGTAGTTGTATTATGTGTGTATGTGTGTATGTAGTTATATTTCAGTCCTAAAGTGGTGGACCAATCAGCCAACAGGCAACATCGCCATACTGCAGCTAAAAACATGATACAGCCTAATTTACTTGTCCAAAGGACTGAACGGGTCATATTTCATTGATCACATTAGCATTCATTGCTGCAGATATTTCTTGTACCTGCCTGTTTTAAATGCGCTCCTGGAGGAAGTCACCCTATCAGACTGTGTCTTTAAACCACCTGCATGGTCAAGATTTCCTTCCCAAGGTTTTGAACGGGTCACGCTCACGCTCAAAATGTGAGTAAATGCAAATGAGAGACAACAACATCCCGAGGCCTTTCAAGTTAGGAGCAGGTGTATTAGGAGCACAGCTGGAATGAGAAAGAGTGACCTCCATAGTGATAAGCCACGGTCTGTGTGCGCTTTATATAGACCTTCACATGGCACTTAAACCATTTTATCAGTTTACCAAAGCTGGTTTGGGTTGTTTTTGAGGGTTTGTTTTTTTCTTTCCAAGCATGACTTTGATATCACAGAAGTAAAACTCTACATTTTGGTCATCAAGAAATGGGTAGTGCTGAGCATAAAAATGCTTTCAACATGCTGTTTCATGGTGGTTTCAGTCAGCCAGACTCAGTGTATTGTAACGTGGAGTGATGCATCTTAATTTACATATTTATCACCTCACATATGCCAGCGCAGACCTCTAGGCTTAGAACTGTTGATGAATGACGAATGTTTAAAAACTGAGTCAAGCAAACTTAAGGTCTGAATCAGCCTTCCAGGGCCACAGGCACTCTCTCCACAAATTGGACTCAGAGTTCACGCTGGCCGGTACTTTCAGGTACCTGCCTGCTGAAAGTGTGTCCGAAAAAATGTGTGATACAGACAAATACATTTCTATCCATCCATTATCTTGCCACTTCACAGTGGCAGCACAGTGAGCAGAGCAGCGCAGACATCCTTAACGTCCTCCAGCCTCTCCTAGGGGTTCCCAGGGCGCTCCAAGGCATGCTGGGAGCTGTGGTCTAATCACAAGTGAGCTGTGACTGATGGGATGGAGACAGAAATAAACTTGGCTGTCAATACGGAAATACAGGGAAAAAAAAAAAAAATAAGGGGTGATATTATGGCCTTTTCATTGGATTTAAAAAACACAAGCAGAAAGTTGGAGATAACTTCAGACCAAGAAATTACTTCATGCGAATGATGAATCACATTTATTTTCTCTTGAGGTGTTCCAGTTATTGATTATTTCGTAAAACTTTTGCAGGGCATGAACTTTCGCGGTCGTAAATGCGGTGGCACGTTGCATCCTCTGAGAGAGAGAGAGAAGAGGAAATAAAACATATACCATTTCCAATATTTGATACGGATCTTGTGCACAAACAGGAATTAACTGTGCCAGGCGCCGCAATCTGCAGTCAGTATAATAGTTCATTATCAGAATCGGGGCCTCGCAATCAGTCCTCTCAGGATGTTGAAAAGATGTAGATTTGCTGCTCAAAGGATGTCAAATTCATTACACAATCAGCATTACTTTATTAAAATATGCAAGAGAAGGGTGTAATTAGAAAGTAGTTGAGAATTACTTTAAAGAGTAACTGAAGAATATATCCATTTTTTTTTTTTTTTTAAGTTAATGAATTAAATGTACATCCACTTTATTATATTATCAGCATATTCTTGTCTCTAGGGTAAATTCCTTTTTTATTTTTTTTAGAGAGAAAATTGAATTAAAACCAAAAGTCTGTGATGTTGCCTTGCAGTCTTTGGCATCACCCTGAATGTATAAAACTTCATTTACATCTCGTAGCTGTCTTTGTGATTTTAAAAGGAGAGCTTGAGGGACACAGTGTCTGTGGTAACATGGTAACTAGGGGAAGGTGGAAGGGTGAGATCTGGATTTTAATGCATTTTTGTCCAATATGAAGTTAAAACCGGGGGGTGTTACTTACCTCTTTAAAACCGGCAACAAGTTGTGAACGTGACGCTGCCAAATTATCACCTTTTTTAAGCTGATGTAGCTGATTGCGACGGAGCATTAGGACTCAGTGTGTCATGGCACCTGAGATGTTGATCTGCGCTGACTCCTGAGGGAAATATGGTTCTGTAGCTGGTAAATGCTCCACTGTGGTTCAACTTTGTCTGTCGAAGGAAAACGGCTGCCTGCTGCAGTCGGAAAAAGACACAGAGATTGTATGAAGCTCTGTGGAGCTGAGGGGAGCAGGGGAATCCTCTGAGGGATTGATCCCCTCTCACATATAGTGAGTACGTGATCGATTGTTAAAATAAATCTTTTTTATCATAAACGCTTTAAGTTTCAGGGCTCTGCCGACAAAGTATCTGCACATCGCACTTTCCATAAACACTGCGCCTCTGCATCGCATCAATACCTCAAACGCGCGTGGCAGCGTACAGATGGAAATGACTGAGTACAAAGGTGTTGGTGGCTTTTTTAGAACCTTCAAAGTCAAAAATGAAGATTTCAGCAGGCGTACAGTGGGAGTGGGAGTCGTTCCAACGGAAGCAGCGCTTTGCTTACAACACAGGCGCCGAGATCTCTGAAGGATTACACAGCCGCCTGTCAACGGGGGGTACAGAGCTCAGGCTTAAGGAACCAGAGGATTAGAGTACAAGGGCTCGGAGTCTCGTGTCCAACCCGAGATAAGACAGCAACTCGGTACATCAACCACAGGAGGAATGCGTTCACACCACGAGCGCAGAGATGCAGGGTCACCCCTCGCCACTTTATTTACTGCGCCAGCTCCTGCGAGGGTCTTCATCACAAGTTGTGAGAACAACAGGAGAATAATGCATCGCCTCCCTTTGTAAATATCTGCTCAAAGCAATTATCAATGCAGTAAAGAACAGGGAAGGGTCAAGCACCCCCTGTCCTCAATAATTCCTTTATAGATGTCTTTAAATCATTAATGGTCACAGCTCTGCGCCGCTGATGAATGGGTTCAATTTAGAGGAAATCATGAATTTAATTAATTAAAGTAATTAGAGGCAGTGCTCGTCCATACACATGGAGACCTTATGGCCCGGGGATCTCTGAAGGCTTTTGTCTTAATCACGGCAGGGACGTCAAATAAAAGACAAGAGAGCTCGAGGACAGTTGGAGGTGTGACAATCTCCGAGCCTTGGCTCTGTCCCGCTGCACAGCGAAGGGGCCAAAGGAGCAGTTTGAGGTCTCATTACAAGCATAGAGAATGTAATGTCAACTCAAGGCCACAGCTCTTGAATTTACTACTCACCAGTCCTATAGCCAGCTGTCATTGTTCCTGTCTAATTCATGAGAGCGGAGATCAAGGATGGGATAGTTTTAAAGAGAGTCCATTGAAATTATTTTTTCTGATCACAACTGGAGCTTTTGGTTTCATATTGATTCTACTGTACGCAATCGAATTGGACTACATGATCATTTTCTGTCATCCCTATTTACGTACATGCGTTACGTGCTACTGACACCATATGAGAGTGTGACAAAGAAGATTACATGGAGGCAACAGTCATATTACAGTGCACTTTACAGGTGTACCTAATAAAGTGGGCACTGAGATGCTCTGTCCAAAAAAAAAAAAAAACCCCAGACACACAGAAAACAGCAGGAAGCTGCTAACTTTCTTTGAAAGTTTTGTAATTCACTTTTTTTGCTTGGCGGCTGCAAATGAATGTGAATTGAACTCGAAGCAATAATCCCTGCTTATCTGAAACAGTGGGGAGCAGGTGTGAATGTGCATGAATATAATCAACTTAATCAGCGTCGCCTTCTTTGAATACTCATGAAGGCATTGTGAAATTACTGGGCTTAAATGAAATGTTTTAATATTGATTTTTTTATTTTATTTTTTATTTTAAAATATATGTACGTTCAGATTTCCAAGTCGCCGGTTTGGTTTCGAAATTGAATCACCTTTTGCCACATGAAGAATGATTTCTATCTCTACATGAAGAAGATGTGCAAAATACATGCGGTCTGTGTTCATATATACGAGTTACATGGGAGCGTATCTGCATTGTGAGTGTGCACTCAGAAATGCATATTGCACCTGACAGTCGGATGCAGCCTTTATATGAAAGTGCCTGAAGAATACCTGTCTCCCATTCAGATTAAGCATGCCACATTTATTTTCATTACTGGCAGATGACAGTTGCTCACCCAAGATACGGAATTGATTAGGAAACCTGTTTTGTACACAGCTGCGGGGGAATAAATAAAAAATGCGAAGATCTGATCCATCACGTCAATGAAGATGGACAAATATTGAAGGGACACCGACAGGGCAAATTGAGTAGCAGATGACAGCCTCGTGGAGCAGAAAGAATCTATTCAAATTTCAGATTGTTCATCAGCTTTTTATTTTTTCTTGACATCCAGCTCAGCCGCCTGGTATTACCTTTCATTCTGACATTATTGTAAGAACAGGATGTTTGTTGGGGGGGGGGGGGGGGGGGGGGGGAAACCTGTAGAAAAACAGTTCAAAAACAAACCTTTTAAAAATGCATGCTGCAGCCGAGTCCATATTGAATGTTAATTTACAGCCTCGTCCACTGCGCCTTGTGTGGAGTGGTTTTAACTATCAACCTGTAATAGAGATTTAGATGTCCCCTGAGTTCTCTTTCATACAGTCATCCTTTGACCTTGGTGTTTTAAACTACCTGTAATATAACCTGTCATGACTAAGAGGTGATGATATAATCTAGGTGTCCTTCTACAACCAGCCTGGTGATAACTTCTCCAGCTCCACCAAGCTTTTCTCTTTTCTTTTTTTTTTTTTCTCCATTATATTGTTCTCATCCAGGGCCAGAGCCTGTTAATTCTGCTTTACAGCCAGAATGGAGGACTCTAATCTTCAATTTCCATGATCACTTCATTCTGTAAAAAGCCTGTAAAGTATATCTCATGTTAGAAAGTGAGATTTTTATTAGGATGTTTGCTTCAAAGTAAAATATCACCAACTTGTAAGACGGCACTTTCCTGTCAGATGCTACAATATGAGGCCGAGCCGAGCCAGATACAGTACTGTATGTGCTGCTGGCCGTTAAAGTGAAATATTCAGGCATGAGCCAGTTATTCATCCGAACACGTGGAAACGACACACTCGTGGAAAATGGTGTTTCTTCATCTCCAAGGTTATTTCAACAATGTCTATTGTTGGTGATTTCACCGCTGCCGAGCGTGAGACTGCAGAAGGCGTCAGCTTTAAGACCGCCGCTGACGCACAGTCTCACAGCAGAAAATCTCCTGCTCTATAACGGTTGTTTTTGATCATTTAAAATTTTATTACATGCCTTTTCCGCTTTATTATCGTATAGATATAAATTCTTTGATTACTTTGCCTGGGTAAAAAACAAAAACCAGATCTGTTACCGCCATAATGAATGACCTATTGAAATTAATTGGCACTGATTGTTGCTGATTATGTTTTCTCTGTGAAATCTTCAAACGCTCCTCTGCTTTACCTTCCAAGCCACGGCTGTCAGCTCAAGTCACATCACACGCGTTCAGTCGGCACACTTAAAGAGAAATGCATAAGGAGTCATGTCTGATGTCTTCTTCTCTGCCTCGGAGGGAGAGTGGGAGAGGACAATACTCTCCACCGCACGCAGAAACAACAGTTGTCAGTTGTCAGCAGAGTTCTCAGTCGAGTTTGAAAACAAATTTCCTCCTTGTAAGCTGGAGGGAAGTTTGGGGATTTGGGGGGGGTGGAGGGATGGAGGGGTGGAGGGGGTGGGGGGCACTACTGGCTACTAAACCAAAATCAAGCTTTATATGTTGGGTTTTATAACTTTATCTGCAGCACTCGCTGCATAATGTCAGAGTCCCCCTGAGTCCAAGGTGATATAACTAATATTTCTCCAGTCCAACAGAAAGTAAAACATCAGTCAGATTCCTTCACTTTCTATCAAACCTTGGCTGCTGTTGTTTACTGTTCTTTATTTTGTCAGTTAGTATTATAGCTAACTGATGTGCCCATTATATAACACTAGCATATTGATTTGGACATTATTTTCTAATAATTAGTTTGTTTATTATTTAACATGGACCGTACAGACAAACACTGTCAAGCCATGCGACAGATCTAATGTGTGTAGCTAGCTGAAGCTAATTAGCTGCCCCGATCCCTGGGTTGGCTTTTAAATCTTGAGACGCGCCAGGAATCCAAGCGATCGTCCCAGAACCAGATCGTAGATCGTTGATCACGTGATTAATCGGCCGCGTTGACCCTGCTCAAACTGCACGTCAAACGACAACCAATCAAAACCAAAATGACCAAGTCAGGACTCTGACCCGTATCTGCCGCGGTGTTGGTGTTTGCAAACTGTTGAGGGGTGAAAAGAATCTTCAGCATTCTGAAGGATGGGAGTTGCTATGGAGATGAAGTGAAGTGGCAACTTTGTAGCCCCCCCCCCCCCCCCCCGAGACAAGAACTGACCAATGAGAGAAAAGAACAACAACCCCAGTCTCTCACATTAATTTCAGGCTCATTGTTTCCTTTTTGGATTTATAGTTTGCACTGTTTTAGGTTAAATTCATTCATCAATTCATTTCCACTCCTCTAAAAGCAACACTTCATTAAACCAGATGATCTGCCTATCACCAACCAGGATTCAACAGAGCATCCCAAACAAACAGCACTTAACATGTTTGTGCTGTAATACTGCAAACCCGCCTCTCGCCCTCAGAAAATCATTTTGTTTTCATGGTTACAGTTTTCCCCTCCGCAGATCGAATTCCTCTCCAGAAGCACTTTGTGGGCCTCTTAATCAGTAACTGGGTGGGTTACCATCTGCTCATGTTAACAAAGATTTTAACTAGGAAATTAAATAGTAAAGAGTTGTTTTCCCAACTGTGTCTTTTTCTCAAACTTTGTATCATAAAATTATTTTTGTTGTTGAACTACAACACAAAGATATGACATCGCTGGAGGACGAATTCAAACTCTTTGACTCTTCTGAAACCAAAAAAAAAGAAACCAAAGTTGCAGTACTGGGATCAGTGATGATATGACATCCATAATAATTTAGCTTTGTCTTTTTCGGTGGGGGTGAAGTGCCTCTTTAACATGCACAGATGGGTTGCACAACCCATTTGGCTGCTGAATTAGAATCAACAGATTGAAGGTACCGGAGAAGATGCTGCTAACTGATCTGTGGGAGGCGAATGGGAGCAACGGCAACAAAATGATCTCTAAAGGCAAAGAGTTACACTTTAATCTTGCAGCAGAATCACCGCAAATGATGTGCAACTGAAACTGTTATTTGTTTCCCAGCATTTGAGGCCAGCGCACAGAACATGTCAGATCTTTTGGTGCTGTTGGTTTCAGTAAAAAAAAAACTGCTTTAAACTCAGATATTTTATATAAAAATGAAAACAGTACAAAACAAGCAAACAACAGCACTCCCAACAAAGGAAGGCTAATGACTAATGAGATTCTTTCCCTCTTCAAAAGTTACATTTTCATTGTCTTTTTTCCCTCCCCCCCCTTTTCAAGTAGAATTTGTCACACACTCGGCTGGTATGATGACTATGTCCACATTTAGCTCGGTTTGACTTGGCTTCTGGATGTTGTCTTGGAAACTAATGAAGGGCTGTCTGCCCACAGGAACCATGGTAGTGCAAGTGGCAGCCACGGACGCGGATGACCCGACATATGGGAACAGTGCCAGGGTGGTCTACAGCATCATCCACGGACAGCCGTACTTCTCGGTGGAGCCAAAGACAGGTGGGTGCAACGTTTGTCGGACGAAAGTGGTGGTGATTTAAAATCCAGAGCAAAACATCCTCTCAATTAGATTTGTCCTAAGAGTGATGGAGTTCTAACACACAACACACAGTTTTCTTTATTCACACTACTTCCACCCCTGGTGCCAGTGTAGTAGAAATAACGGCGATGAAATTAAAAAGCAGTTTTAAAAAGCCTGAGAAAACTGCTAAAAATAAGCAGCAAGATCAGATTTGAGGATGTTTGTTGAGTCGTGGGCTGTTTATCCTGAGAAGTGCAGCAGCAGCCCTCGCTACATCTTCATAGCCGGCTCATTAGCCACTGCCCTGCCGAGGCTCGGCAGCTTCATGCAAAGCACTCTCGCAAGAAAACTGAAAAAATATGGGCCATCCCACAATATTAGGCTTCATCCTCTGCTTCAAGAGCAACACATACACACATGCTGCGATTTTATTGAATGTAGTTCTTTAGTTCTGTTGTCATGAAGTGGTGAAAGCCTCCGCAATGCAGGGATGCATGTCGTTTATTTTTCACACTCAAGCAGACACAGCAATAAGAGGGATGCTCTACGACAAGAACTCCGCTGTGACCTGTAATGTTCACTGTAAACATTCAGTGAGCCTGCAGCGGAAGAAAATGGAGCATTCAAGAAAAATGAATGTAGAGCGCGAGAAAAAAGGAAATGACTTCATATTGTTTTCGGCATTATGAATGTGGCGTCTGAGGAGGAAAATATGTTGTGAGCCATCGAGATTTCAGCACAGTTAGCTGTGAAGCCTGCACAGTATCACCGAATTTCTGTGTTGTTTTTCACTTTCTGGAGACCTTCTGCTAATGAAGCCTCCCGCTGCAGCTTTCATTAGGGAACATTTCCATGTTTCAATGTTTTGGGCCTAACATTTACATGTTTTATACACTCTAAATGAAAAAAAAAGGTTCCTCATGGATACTCTTTAAGCTCCGAGAGGTCCACAGGGAGCCCTCCGAGGCTGTACATCTTTGATTTTAAGTGAAGGATTCCTCGTGGCTCCTTAGAAGCTAAAACTTCCGTGGACCAATTAATGTCTTGAAATGCTGTGATCACCTTCACTGAGATGAGTTTGGTTTGAAACTTCATTTGTACCTCAGTGTTTTTCCTCAGTTCCTTAATTTTTCTGTGATGAATTCAACTGGCAACCAAGCAGCTGATATCCGAGGATGTCGGTAAATCTCTTTTATTGTTTTTTATTTTTTTTGTGATAAAAAACATAGCTGGTAATAATTAGACTGGATTAGTTTAATTGATATTATAGAGTTAGGTTAAGTAATCCCTTGAGTAATTTCGTCAAATATTTTGTCTTTTTAATGAACTAATTTCCAAGATTTTTAGCAAGATTTTATCAGTGAGTGTAAGTCAGATATTCGCTTTGGTCCCCATCAACTCCTCTTGCTCTTTAGCTGCTGAATGCTCCGCGATGTGCACCTGCTAGCTCGTCACTGTCTTCGTCTGCGTGCTGTTTGGTGCTGGACAGGAGCGCATTTTCACTAAAAGCTGCTTCTCCACCAAAAATTCTTCCAGGGACTTTTAATTCCCCCCAAAGAACTAATGTGTAGGAACCTTCCAGGAGGTAAAGGTTTTCTCAATCACATTGTGATTTGCATTTCCACAGCAGAGCCAAAGCCCTGGGAAGATAAAGCAAATTAGTCTGCTGACTAATCAAAAGAGCGCCGGTCGCCTTTCACATCATTTGTACAAAAATTGACAGCACAGCCTTCGTGGAGCGTTCCTGCGATGGGAATGCACCTAAAAACAGCCGCCTGTTGAATCTGGAAACTGAGCGTTTTAATTGGTTTGATTTGGCCTCCTCCTCTTTCCCACATGTGTCGAAGTGTCCTTGAATAAGATGCTGAACCCCTTAATTTCTCTGGATGTGGATATGAAGGGAAAAGTCAGTTCTCGCACAGTGATTCTTCTCTTTCAGTGTTGAGAGTTGCTCAGTGCAGATTTAAGCATGAAACTTTACGCACAGATAAATCCCATGTTGGTGCTCTTTCTGTAGGACAATGGCTGGGTTATTAACCTGTCTCACACACACACACACACACACACACACACACACACCTTAATGTGCGCCCAGACGGAGGCCCTTGGGCCTTTGCCAGCACCTCGGTCGTCTCCTGTCCATCTCTGCCAGACCACAACTGATCACACTTGGCTCTCTCCCTCGCTCTCCGTCCATGTAGAAGCTGATTGGATCTCACGGTTATGAGATGCAACATTGGTGTCAGACGTGAACAGCACGGATGGCCCGTCAGAGAGGCGCCACTCCACGAGGGACTCGATGCGAGGAGGCGTGAAAAACGTGCTCTCTTGTTTGAAAAGGGGAACAAGCTAATACAACCTAAAGAGAGAGGGTTTATAGAAGAGCGACTTGCAGGCTTTCGCAGCAGCATTGTTACTGTCTGAAGTCTCTTTCTGGGTTTAGAACTTTCTTGGTGATTATTCTTTTTAGACCCCCCCCCCTTTATATTGCTGCCTGCAAAAGTAGAGACACAACTGTAATTGAGAGAAATATTAGAAAGTGTTCACTCGGTTACCTTCGTCTTCATCTTCATTTAGTTACCTTTCAAGAAGAGCTACCTTGGGGAAATAAAAATTTATGCCACTGAAAATGCTCCGCTGGTTTCCCTCTAAAAACCAAGATGCTGTTGTGTCATTAACTTTTAACATCGCTGCACCTTTTACAAACTTGCCGAAGACTTATCTCGCTTTGAAATATTTATTTGAAATTTGGTGTTAGCTGATACATCCTAATTTCTCCTGCTTCTTATTAAGAGTTTGGTCATGAGGATCTTGAAAGGAAGCCGCTTGGTTTATCAGGTAGCGTCCGGCAGAAGTTACTAAAACTGATACGGGACTGATGGAAATTCGACCACGTGCCTCTGGGCGTTCGATGATCTTTAAGAAAGTTTGCGAGAGCACTTGAACCTGTCGACGAGTCTCAAGTGAGACTTCATGACACCGATACCAATTAGAGCGAGAGCAGACATTTACTTAAGTGACGTTCAAACAGCATGTCTGCCCCGTAAAGTCCCCACATTACTCTCATGTCGTGTTTTTCTTAGACCCATCCAGCTCAGACGACCAGCGCCTGAGCTGGTGACGTGTTTTTCATTAAGCTAAGTGGATTCTTTAAATCCAAAGGTTACACATATATTTCAAAAAGCTTTAATGGGTTATAATTGCTCGCCATAAGTGGCCTGTGTCCCCTTACAGTCCATTGAGATGCTAACCAGAGTTCATTTCCTCCGCGCCCCTACTGCGCACTTTACATACCGGGAAGAAAGGATGGAGGAGACATGATACAGAGATGTCATCAAATAATGCCAGTTTGTGTATCTTGTATTGAGCTGTTAGTGTGGCTTCAAAGCGTGTGTGTGTGTGTGTGTGTGTGTGTGTGGCGTCCTTAGATCGTAAGAGTGGCAGCGACTCCATTTCCACTTTTTCTGATTTTGTATCACAGAAGAATTTATTAGGGTGACGTCTGTGCCGGTCATTCCAGACTCCCTTGAGTTGGTTGCGTATTTTACTTCTGTGATAACACCATCGTGATAACATCATAGTCTAACAGTGGTGCAAGCAGAGTCATAAAGCAGGAAGGTCACGATGTCAAGAGTTTGCTATTGTTAGCAAACGTTAGCCACCATTAGCTACTGGTCACACCAGACCAAGCGCGGATGTAGAAAGAATAAATGAACCTTTCCTCTCTAAGAGGAGGAGGATTGTGTGTCTAGGTGTTAAATACTGTGTCCGCCCTCAGTACTGGCTGTGAAAGGGACCTCATTGTTTGTGTTAACTGTTAGTTTTTTTAACATATTGTCAATACCATGTATCTTACAGAACACACTCCGGGGGTGAGACAGAAGCTCTGAGACAGCAGCCCACGATTGAGCGTTGTGGGATGAACGTTGCGCCGCTGTCTTTGTGAGTTACTAATTAGTCCCATTTGCAGCACACGCCTGGGCCATAGCAGAGGGTGACTTTGACAAAGTGCCTGGGCTGAAATACACCCTAAGCTCCACGCTGCAATACCGCACTAGCGATTAAGTAGCAGAGGGCTAATGGTCAGAGGGGGAGGAGGATGCAGCTGACCCAGTGTTAGGTGGGTAGCATCCTGGCTCTCTTTCGTCTAACAAGTCTCTTAACTCTGGTTCTTAATCCCAAATTGAATCTACAAGGTGCCCTTGGGAAAAGTACTTAATCCTGAATAGCTCCAATAACTTCCGAGCGATGCATAATGCCGGCAAAATACATAAGTTGCGGCACCTGAAGGTGTTCAGTTAAGACAGCGTTTTGTAATACATATTGATCGATAGCTTGTCGTTTAGTTTGAAGGTGAAGCCGAAACGGTAATGCTGCTGAGGACTGCGTTCTAATTGATGGCAGGCTCAAGGAGGTTTGAACAGCTGCCTCCAGCTCCATACACCTTTGGCGATATGGCAAGTCCTTTAGAGACAATTATCCACGCACATTAACACTGCTAAGCATGCGTGCATGCTCGCCAACCTCAATGGCTGGAATAACAAAAGGAAGAAGTTAGTTAGTGGGAAATGCCAGGTGCCTGAATGAGAGGATTAATTACATTGTGAAGGGGGTATTTAAGATGTGACACGGCTCGCCTCTCAAAACGACACAAGTATGACACCTGAATACGACAGGTACTCAGGTGATAGAAGGCTGGACGGACTGAGCTTCGTCTCAGCCCGAGAATCTAATTAAAGTGAAAAGAGCTCAAATAAAGGGAAAGGCCAGGTCCCGTCCTTGTGTACTCTGCAGCCGCTCCGACTCATCACATGTGAAATTTCGACATTGAGGTCAAGAGGAGTTGGGCGGCTCGCTGTGATCAGCATGTGATTAAGATATTAGCGTGGCCTTTTTTTAAAAATCTGGCTTTTCTTTAGCGTCATGCACAAAGCTGTGAATGTGTGTGTAAGTGTGTGTGTGTGTGTGTGTGTGTGTG